AGAGAGAGAGAGACGACATTTAAGAGCAACTAGGTATGATGAACCCCTGGCTCGGGCTGGGGCAGGGGTTGAGACAGCCAAGGTATATTGCGCGGTGCTGGGGAACAAGGGGCAAGGGATGGGCTGCAGGTGACGGGGCATCCCTGGCAGCAACGTTCCCGTGGAAGGAGAAACCAAGGGGGACTGGCCCCGGAAGCTTGTATGCACTCACAGCCAGGGGTGTGCACGGATAGAAATGTATCGGCTCGCTCTGTGTACACATGTTGCAAGGAATCCCACAGGGCTCTCCCTTAGCACGTTACGCGCACTCCTTATTTCCCTTCCCTGCTTGTATGTGCTTGTAGGGGTTTTATTGTGTTTCTTTGTTTGTTTGCCTTTTAACACGTTCTGAATGGTTCTGGTGTGCCTCAGAGGTTTGAGAAGCACTGTACAATGTGTTCGCCTTTAGAAGACAGTCTACGTTTAATTCAGGTGGTGGGGTTAGTGGGCCCAGGCTGCTTAGACAGGGCTGCTGAGGTTTCAGGATGTGGCTGGGCGGTTGCCCTTGGGAAAAGGGGAGTGGTCTCCGGTATTCTATGTGTGGAGTGTCTGTTACGCTCTCTATTCAGTGGCCAATGCAGGGCCTGGTGACAAGTTCTAACCCTTTGACGTGAGTGAATGAGTGTTACATGTACCATTCCTCTTCCTGAGAAGCTGCTGACTTTGTGGGACTGTGGGCCGGCCCTGGCTGTGCCGGATACTGACCATTCTCTGTTTTGACAGGTGAATCCAGCCTCGTCCTACAAGACAAGCAGCTGGTATGTTTGGAGCTCAGGAGCTACAGCCAAGTTGTTCCCTTTGTTTCTTTTTCAGCAACAACTTCCTCTTACCCTCTCTTGTCCTCTCCTCACCCCAGTTACACAAATTAATCCAATTAAAGTAGCTTCATATTAAAGTAGTCTTCGCTTCTGTAGTCTCCCTCTTTCTGGGGGGAGGGGTGTTGCGAAGGGAGGGGAGGGATGGGGGCAGCAGGTTCATTTGGAGCATTTTAAGCCCAGTCACTAGGGCACCTGTGCTGGGCCTTCTCCCTGCGGGACGTCTGGGCCAGGATGTGGTGGCCAGCCCCGTGCTCAGGCTCACCTGCCCAGTCACATCGCAGGCCCTGTTCATGGTCCCTCCCAATATCCTCCACCTTGGGGTTCACGGTTCCAGTCTGTGCGTCTGTGTCGCTCCTCCCCCCCCCTTCAGCAGGAACTATTGACCTCCTGCCAGGAGATCCACCACTCTTTGCTCCTCAATGGTTCGCTGTCCGTTCTTCCCCCCTCGCCCCTTCCTTTCTGTCACGAGCATCCTTCGGTCTCTCCCATGGCTTCATGCCTGGCCTTTCCCGCAGGTCATTGCAGCAGGTGTTAAAGAGCACGGTTGAGTCCTCCCAGCCGGGCCCCGGTCTCTTTCTGGAGTCACGCTCTCCTCTGGTGCCACACGTACAAGCACAGCTCGGCCGGAAACCCAAGACCATCCTCAGTTCTCTGTAGCCCTCACCTTTGACACTCGCTTACCAAACCCGGGAGTTCTCCCGCCTACTTGCAGTGGAGGGGTGGAGCGAAAGGGGAGCTGCAGGGAGCAGGGGAGAAGGGAGCAGGTTGGTCTCCGGGCTGCAGGTGGGGGACTGAGTGCGCTCTGCTGCTCGGGGCTCCGCGCCTCTACTTGGACAAGGCCAGTTAGTTCCAGCGAGGTGTGCATGCTAGGTCTGAATGTTCCTGGATGTCCCATCAGACACCTTTCGGCCACCCCATGCCACGGACTTGGCTGGACGTGATTTTCCGTTCCCAGCTCAATCTCCAGACTGCCTCCGAGGCCACCATGAGATTCCGTCTGAGCTCCCTGTTGTGACCTCACCTCCCTGACAGCTGGGGTCGCCCCTTCCTATCGGCCAGGGTCCGGGCGGCGGCCTGACACGCAGGGACATTGATGTGAGTGAGGTGAGGCATGTTCCGAAGCTCCCATTCGCCCAGAGAGGGTTGTTTCCCAGACAAGCAGGGGACAAGTGCAGATACCATCCGGGGTGAGAGTGCAGGGGAAGGATCCGTCTGTGTGTGTTGTGTGTGTCTTTCTGTGTGCTTGTGAATCTCATCGCCATGACCTCCCAGGAGGGAGAAAGAGCTGATTCAGGGAGCGGGGCAGTGGGCCAGATCCTCAAGGACCAAGGTCGAAGCAAGGGTGGGTCTACCGTTCACGAGAGAGGTGTTCTTCAAGTGCGGAAACACACAGGAGCGCCCAGAGGGGTGGAAGTGGAAGTGGCAAGCCAGTGCCGGGCGCCAGGGCTCTCAGATGCTGGAGTCCCGGAGTAGCTGGATCCTCTGTGCGACAATATGAGTCTCAAAAGTCCTGTGCGTGTGGGTGGATGATAGTGTGAAGGCTGGCTACGACACAGTAGGTGGGACGTGCCTTCCCTGTGAGGCAAAGGGTCTCCGGGAGACTGCCCCGTGTGAGTGACGACGTACGGGTAGGATGGGCCAGTGAGGATGGAAAGTAGGGAAGAGGGACAGCACTTGAAAACTGTCAGGCGTGGCACCACCCCTGCCCATATTCACTCTGCTCCCTTCCGTGCCGCGTGGCATGGCTCAGGGACAGGGACATCACGCGTGTGGTGGGACAATCACAGACCTCAGAGCCAGAAAGGAACATGAGTGGGGACTTAAACCATCTGCTTCAAACCCTCCCTTGAGAAGATGGGCTTGATTTTTGCAGGCTGAACCTTCGACCCCGACCCAAGTGATGGTTTCTTAGCAGGGTAACAGCGGGGCTGGCGTCTGGGTGCAGACGTGAGGCAGAGATTTTCCAACTTGGGATTCTGACGCCGGAGGCATCTAGGCCAGTTCTGATGGGAAGAGAATTCCAGCACCAGGCACTGTCCCAGGAGGCGTGAGGCTGTGGTCGGCAAGGGCAGGAAGGGGCAGCAGGTTGAAGCAGGTGTGGAGGGCATGAACACAACCCGTGGTGACTATTTGCCTGTCCCGACTCCCTGCTGTGAGCACAGGCTCTCTGTTCCACATGCAGAGCACGTACTGCGGGAAGATGCTGCTGTGTCCTGTACCCAACAGGCCACGGGTGGGGCTGACACTTCCATCTCTAGGGGAGGTGAGTGACAGAATGCGAGGCTCACATTAGAGCCATCCATCTGGGCCCCAGAGTACAGGAGACGGTGGAACCCCTCCCTCACTCAGTGCCCTCCTTTTGCCCTTCCCTGCAGCGGCCTCTCCCCCCAAGGGAATGTGGGGTGGCCTGGAGAGCCCTGGGCCCCACCCTGCGCCCTGGGCTCCTCAGCTCAGAGGGGGCTCTGGAGATTTGCTGAGCTGCATGCCTGCCCGAGATGCAGCTGCAGCGGCACAGCCCCGAACAAAGTCCCACCTGTGCCAGGTGCCAGGGCTCCCAAATGCGCATGTCCAAATGTGACCTTTCACTCGGCAGGCAGAAGAGGTCACCTCGTCTTCCGACTCCAGCTATGGATGAAGGCGTGTGACTGAGCAGGCCAGTGAGCCAGGGGCAGCAATGGTGGCCACCCGGGCTGTGGCGGAGCACACGGCAAGTGCCAGCACACGGCAAGTGCCAGCACACGGCAAGTGGGGACGTGAGATGACAATCGAGTCTGAGAGTCGTGGTGGTGAGTGACAACTGTGGATTTTAGTCCTTGCTGTCACAGCCTCCTGGGTGAAACTGGACAACTTCACGCGCGTCTGTCCTCAGTCTCCATGCCCAAGAACTCGTCGTTTCCCCATCCACATGTCCTTATCCGTTTCCTCCAGTGATGAAGCAAACACCCGCGTTGGCCAGGTGCGGCGCGTTCGCGGGAGCTGCCGGGGTGGCCGTGCGAGCTACACCCGCGGGATTCCAGAGTGCACTGTGGCCGACTGCAGCGAGAACCGTGCCCCGTGGTTGTGCGGTGTCCAAGTCCCGGCCACACCACACAGAGCAAGAAGCCGAACGCTGGCAGCGTTTGCAACCTCCTGTGTGCCATCCATCTCAGTGCAGGACATCGGGAGACTCTTCCTGTCAGTTTGTCCCACGACTGGTGATGTTCACTGTGACCATGTGGTCAGGGCGCTGTTTCAGATCACTCTGTTGTGAAGCGACCGTCTTCCCTCTGCAGTTACTAAGCATTCTCTGTGCTGTCCCTGCAGAGACAGTGTGCGGATATCCAGCTCCCCCGTAGGATCCTCACTGTTTTTTGATGTCTGTGTCACTTATGCTTATTTCTACCTTTGCTTTGCCTATATCGGTCCCCTTCCTTGTTTTGTTTTCTTGATCAGTCTCACCAGAGCTTTGCCAATTTCATTCTTTTACCAAACAACCAACTTCTGGTTTGTTGATCTTTTTAAATTGCACACTTGTTTCCTGGCTTAGTGATTTCTGCTTTATCTTTACTACTTCTTCAACTTTCCTTGAGCTTATGTTGCTGTTTTTTCTAACTTCTTCTTAATGATTTTCAGCTATCTTCTTTTCCATAAATTTTTTTTTCACCCCACACACCCCTCTCAGTGCTCCTTTACTTTCAGCAACAAGGGGTAAGGAGTTCGTGGCATGGAGATTGAGGACAGATGCCTATGAAGTTGTCCAGTTACATTACAGGGGTAATGAGTAGTGTTCTGGTAATCATCCAATTCCAGGTATGGGAAACAGCATGAATTTCCACTGTCATAGGACCGGATCAGTAAATTGCGGCATATTCATACAATGGAATACTTTTTCTGCAGTGGAATTGTACAAAGTACTCCTACACAGAATAATGCATATGAATCTTACAAAGATAACATTGAGTGGAAGAAGCAAATAACCATATAAGCATATTTAATGATTCCATTCATAACTCTAAATAACAGGCAACACTAACCTACCTTATTTAAGAATGCATACTTAGGATAATAAAGCCATAGAGAAAACTAAGGAAAAGATGATCTTAAAAACAAGGATAGTTTTCTCTTGGAGGAGGAATGGAGCTAGTATCAGGCAGGGAAACCCCAGGAGCTTTGGAGGACGCTGGCAGTGTTCTCTTCTGGGACCTAGGGAAGTGTTTCTGTAGAGGTTCATTTGGTAATCATTTATTAAACCACACATATATTGTGGTATTTTCTTTATGTATATTAACTTTCACTATAAAAGGAAAGCAAAATAGTACTAAGGAAAATAACATTAGCGTAAACATAGTTTTTCATAACCAGAAGGATAACTAAAATTATTTTCTTTATAGCAGATCTCATTGAAATTATTAATATCATTTTATTTATTGTAATGGCTTTATTTTCAAATTGTCATAAATTTCACTGAAAAATAATAAGAATGATGCCTACATAATTATAATATCAATCTTGATTTTTTTGTAAATATTTTGCATTTGGGTGCTAAATTTTATTTTTTTATTATTATTATTTTCTTTCTCTCTCTCTCTCTCTCTCTCTCTCTCTCTCTCTCTTTCTTTCTTTCTCACTTTAACTTCCAAACTCTTGAGATGGATGCTGAATTTTAATTCACAATTTAATTGTGGGCCGGGCATGGTGGTTCATGCCTGTAATCCTAGCACTCTGGGAGGCCGAGGCAGGAGGATGGCTCAAGGTCAGGAGTTTGAGACCAGCCTGAGCAAGAGCAAGACCCTGTCTCTACTAAAAATAGAAAGAAATTAATTGGCCAACTAAAAATATATAGAAAAAATGAGCCAGGCATGGTGGTGCATGCCTGTAGTCCCAGCTACTCGGGAGGCTGAGGCAGGAGGATCGCTTGAGCCCAAGACTTGGAGGTTGCTGTGAGCAAAGCTGATGCTATGGCACTTTAGCCTGGGCAACAGAGCCAGACTCTGTCTCAAAAAAAAAAAAGGAATTTAATTGTGATTTTGTGTTGAAGCTCCATAGAAAGATTGCACTTGGTACAATTTCTCAGAGCAGATTTGTCGCCTCCCTATTCTCTTTGTCTCAGAAGTGGAGGACCAAGAACTGGAGAAAAAGAAGTGAAAGCAAAAAATCCAAAAGTGTTGGGCGTGGTGGCTCATGCCTGTAATCCTAGCACTCTGGAAGGCTGAGGCGAGAGGATCGTTTGAGCTCAGGAGTTCAAGACCAGCCTCAGCAAGAGCGAGACCCCGTCTGTACTTAAAAGAAATAGAAATTAGCTGGCCAACTAAAAATATATAGAAAAAATTAGCTGGGCATGGTGGCACATGCCTGTAGTCCCAGCTACTTGGGAGGCTGAGGCAGCAGGATCGCTTGAGCCCAGGAGTTTGAGGTTGCTGTGGGCTAGGCTGACGCCACGGCACGCTAGCTCAGGGGACAGAGTGAGACTGTCTCCAAAAAAAAAAAAAATCCAGAAAGATTTGCGTTGTAATACAGTTAGTTGACCAGCTGAGGGAAGTGCCGTTTAAGCTGTTTGTTGGAAAGGAAGTGGCAGCTGCCGCTGATTCATGCCTTTTAAATTAGTCCTCTTCTGTACTGTTCGCTGCTGGGACTGAAGGGGTCATTTGTGTCAATGAAGGCAGCGGCAGTGGTGGCGAGTGTTGTTTTGATGGGCTGCCTCTCCCGTGCCTGTTTAGCACTTTCATCTTAACGCTGACCTTGCCGCTGCTTCCACCTCAGCTACCCCTTTCTTCCTCTTTCTTTTCTGCAGGCAGAAACTGAGACCAGTGACGAGGCCCTGAGAGGCAGAGCGACAGTAGGTGGGTGTGTACAGCCCTTCAAGGCCCCATTATTTTTGGGTAGCAAAGCTAGAAGCATTTTCCTAAAAAGTCAGCCTCCAATCCTTAGTGATTTTACCCTGCTTTAATTTCTAGCTTTGCGTGTCCCCAAGATGGCTCAAGTGAAGGCTCCACACTACTTGGTGACATTAATAGGGTCAAGTAGGAAGAATGTCGAGGCTATTTATTTAATTGATGAAATGGAATAAAAATGATTCTCCGGGGCCACCCCTCTGCCTAAAGATAAATAACATTTCCCATTATAACTACCACTCCTTTCTCTGACCCCATTATTTAGAAGTCCCACTATGTCACCTCCCTTACTTAAGGGTGGGTCCGAAGCAGAAGTCTAGGAACCATTTATGTCGAAACTTTCTTTTTTTTTTCTTTTTTCTTTTTTTTTTAGAGATGGGGCCTCACTCTGTCACCCAGGCTGGAGTGCAGTGACATGGTCATAGCTCATTGTAACCTCCAACTCCTGGGCTCAAACGATCCTCCTGCCTCAGGCTCCCGAGTAGCTGGGACTACAGGTACGTGCCATCATGCCCGGCTAATTTTTTAATTTTTTGTAGAGACAGGTCTTATTGTCTCTCGACAGCCTCAGCCTCGCGAGTAGCTGGGACTACAGGCATGCGCCACCACACTAAGTGAACTTTACTTTAAATGACTACTTAAGTAAAGGGTCTTCTCAGATTCTTGTTAAGGATTTTCCATCCCTTTAAACTACATTTTCTTCTCTTCTTTTTCTTTCTTTCTTTTTTTTTTTTTTTTTTTTTTTTTTTTTTTTTTTTTTGAGACAGAGTGTCACTCTTTTGCCCGGGCTAGGGTGTCCTGGTGTCAGCCTATCTCACAGCAACCTCAAACTCCTGGGCTCAAGTGATCCTCCTGCGTCAGCCTCCCGAGTAACTGGGACTACAGGCATGCGCCACCATGCCTGGCTACTTTTTTCTATATATTTTTAGTTGTCCAGCTAATTTCTTTCTATTTTTTTAGTAGAGACAGAGTCTCGCTCTTGCTCAGGCTGGTCTCGAACTCCTGAGCTCAAACGATCCTCCTGCCTCAGCCTCTCAGAGTGCTAGGATTACAGGCATGAGCCTCCGCACCTGGCCTAAACTACATTTTCTTTATTGTTAATTCTATCATACTAGAAGACATTTTGTGGGGAAAAAATGATTTACCCATAATTCTAGGACCCAAACGCCTGAACTGATATTTTTTTCCTCCATAGTTCCTCCCCTAAAATCATAAAAGTATAAGATATTAGAGCTTGGAGAGATCTAATAGGCCAACTCATGGGTAGTGCACAAGTGAGGCTTCTGATAACTTGAGGGGCAGTGCCATGTCAAGGCCACCAGATTGTTCAAGGCTATGCCTCTTCAGTCTTCATTTTGTCCCTTCAGCAGGAAGAAGCTGCTCCCACTCCTCTGAGGCCTCGTGTGGATGGATAGCGAGGTTGGTGCAGCTTCTTCCCAACCTCTTGACTAGTTCTACGCGCTGCAGTCTACCCCATCTGCTGTCAGTTACAGCTAGAGCCAGATTAGGCCAGAAGAGCATCCCAGGTGAAGGGTCAGCTGCCCCCTTTACCCCACCCACAGGAGCTGTGGCATGCTGAGGTCACCCAGGCTGGCTGTCTCTTGTTGCACAGTTCTTTCCAGGCCTAGGAGATGGCAGAGTAAGGCAGGGCAAGCACTAGATGAGGAATCAGGAGACCTAGCTTTCCTCTAACCTGCTGAAAATCACTTCCCCTTTGGAACTTCTGTTTCTCCATCTGTGAAAAGAGGAAGGTGGCCTGGAACAGTGGTTCTCAATCTGGGGTCCACAAACTTCCTGAAATTGGGTCCGTATTTGTGGGCGGTGATGGAGGCAGTCTCCTGGGGAGAATGTGCAGACCTTTCATCAGATTATCGAAGGGGTCCTGTTGTGGACTGAATAGTATCCCCCCAAAATTCATATGTTTTAAAGCCTAACGCCCAGTGTAACTATTTGGAGACAGGGCCTTTAGGGAGGCAATGAAGGTTAAATGAGGGTGAGGATCTAATAAGTGCCCTTATAAGAAGAAGAGACATCAGAGCTCGGGCTCTTTCTCCACCATGTGAGGACACAGCAAGAAGGCAGCCATTTATAAGTCAAGAAGAGGGCCCTCAGGAGGAACCGAATTTGCCAGCACCTTGATCTTGGACTTCTAGCCTCCAGAACTGTGAGAAAATAAATTTCTGCCACATAAGCCACCCAGCCCGTGGTGTTTTGTTATGGGAGCCTGAGCTAACTAATACAGGTCCCATGACCCGAAAAAGATTCAGAGCCACTGGAGCCACTCGTCCCCAGAAACTGTGCTTGGACATCCATGTCGTGCTGCAATATGTCTCTAGACATTTTACAGACTTGTTGAGTTTTTAATCTTTTGTATACATGTTTTACATAGTTGTGATTATAGTGTATATGCAGATCTGTTTTCCTTTTTTCTAGAATTGTGTAGCATATTTATTATTGCAGCCTACTGTGTTTTCTGATGGTTGCATAGCAAACAAAGTTTGGATGTGTATAAACCAATATCCAGAGTTTAAGTCCTGATTCTACCAGGTACTACCTGTGTGACCTTGAGCAGGTTAGCACATATCTGTGTCTTGTATATAAAATGGGGATGAGATTAATATCTACCTCAGGTGGCTATTATAAAAATCAAATGGGTTAAGGTATGTAGAGGGCCTGGCACATACTAGAGTTTCAACAGATACTAGTAGCTCTTGTCATTGTCATTGTTGAACATTTAAGTTGTTAGATTTTCTTGCCCTTATAAATTGTACTGCTGTGATCAAGTATCTTTGTACATAGAGAATTTGTTTTCTTTTAAATAATTTCCTCAGGCTAAATTACCTAGAATGGTATAACTGGGTCAATAGGTTATTTTTTCTATAATTTGGGATTTTTATTTTGTTTTTATCAAAGATCTTATTTATATTTAGGTGTAGATCTTGTGCATACATAAAAAAAGGAAAGCATAAGCAAAAGAAATCAGTTAACTTACTTCTAGAAGTTCTTTATATTTGGTGTAGAATTTTTCTGAATGCCTTTTAACTCAGAGTTATCTCTGTTGCTGGTTTTACTCCCTATGGTATCCTTTGGTGGTATAGCATTTATCAACAGACTGCTCCCCTGTTGGCTTCAGGATTTTCTTCTAAGCTGCTGAGACCCCATCTGCACCCTTTCAGTGGAGATGCTTTCTTGATCTTAAAAGAGGATTTCATGCATAGGCAATGTCAGCCATACCACAAAGCTACCAAATGGCCAATAGCCATCACCGACTGTCAGAAGTATCAAGATTTCTGAGACACGACAATGTGAAAAAAAAGGTATGTCTTAGAATCGATGAAATATGCTGACTCATCAGTACTGTGAATTCCACCTTCTTCAGGTAGAATATTTTTTCATGAATTTTATTGTGGATATTTGAGATTTACAGCATGATGCTATGATGTTACTATAGATAGTAAAATGCTTACTAAAGTAGAGAAAATTAACATTATCTATCACTACACATACTTTTTTGTGACAAGAGCAGCTAAAATCTACTTGTTTAACAAAAATCCCTAACAAATACAATTTTATTAACTATAGCCCTCATGTTCTACATTAGATTTCCAGACTTCATTCATCTGACAAAACTGCTACTTTGTATTCTTGGACCTACATCTCCCTATTTCCTCCCCTTCTCCCCTCTTCAACCCTGGTAAGCACTGTTTTATTCTCTATCTCTGTATGTTTGACCTGTTTGTTTAAGATTCTACATATAAGTAAGATCATGCAATATTTTTCTTTCTGTGTCTGGCTTATTTCACTTAGTATAATGTCCTCTAGATCTATCCATGTTGTGGCAAATGACAGGATCTCCTTTTTTAAGGCTGAATAAAATTCCATTGCATGTGTATGTGTATATATGTTGTGTGTGTGTGTGTGTATATATATCATATTTTTATACATTCATTCATCAGTGAACACTTAAGCTGTCTCCATATCTTGGCTATTGTGAATAATGCTGCAATGAACATGGGAGTGCAGGTGTCTTTATGAGGTGGTGATTTCATTTCATTTGGGTATATACCCAGAACAGGGACACAGGGACTGCTGTATCGTATGGTAGTTCTATTTTTTTTTTTTTTGAGACAGAGTTTCACTCTTTGGCCCAGAATAGAGTGCTGTGGCATCAGCCTAGCTCACAGCAACCTCAAACTCCTGGGCTCAAGCGATCCTCCTGCCTCAGCCTCCCAAGTAGCTGGGACTATAGGCATGTGCCACCATGCCCGGCTAATTTTTTTCTACATATTTTTAGTTGGCCAATTAATTTCTTTCTATTTTTAGTAGAGACAGGGGTCTCACTCTTGCTCAGGTTGGTTTTGAGCTCCTGACCTTGAGCGATCCTCCTGCCTCAGCCTCCCAGAGTGCTAGGATTACAGGCGTGAGCCACCGTGCCCGGCCCCTAAAATTTATATGAAACCACAAAAGACCCAAAATAGCCAAAGCCACCCTGAGCAAAAAGAACAAAACTGGAGGAATAAAATTACCTAACTTCAAATTATACTACAGAGCTGTAGTAACCACAACACCATGGTACTGGCATAAAAATAGACACACAGACCAATGGAACAGAATAGAGAGCCCAGAAATAAGTCCATAAATCTATAGTGAACTTAATCATTGACAAAGTTGCCAAGAACATACAGTTGGGAAAGGACAGTCTGTTCAATAAATGGTGCTGGGGAAACTGGATATTCATATGCAGAAAAATGAAATTGGACCCTTATCTCTCACTATATAAAAAATCAAATAAAAATGGATTAAATACTTAAATCTAAAGTCAAACTATGAAACTGTAAAAGAAAACACTGGGGAACTGCTCCAAGACATTGGTCTGGGCAATGATTTCATGAATAATATCTCAAAAGCACAAGCAACCAAAGCAAAATTGGACAAATGGGACCATATCAAGTTACAAAAACTTCTACACAGCAAAGGAAACCACCAACAAAGTGAAGAGACAACCCACAGAATGAGAGAAAATATTTGCAGACTACCCATCTGATAAGAGATTAATAACTAGAATATATAAGGAGCTCAGACAACTCAATGGGGGAAAAAATCAATTCAGTTAAAATGGGCAAAAGATTTAAATAGACATTTCTCAAAAGAAGACACAAAAATGGCCAATAGGTATCTGAAAAAATGCTCAACATCATTAGTCACCAGGGAAATGCAAATCAAAACTACAATGAGATATCATCAGTTAAGATGGCTTTTATCAATAACGAATGTTGGTGAGGATGTAGAAAAACGGGAACCCTCATACACTGTTAGTGGAAAAGTAAATTGTTGAAACTACTACAGAGAAACAGTATGGAGGTTACTCAAAAAAACAAAAATAGAATTGCCATATGATCCAGCAATTTCACTACCTGGTATATATATCCAAAAGAAAGGAAATCAGTTTTTTGAAAAGATCTCTGCACCTCCATGTTTATTGCAGCACTATGCACAATAGCCAAGATTTGGAATCAACTTAAGTGTCCATCAACGGATAAATGGATAAAGAAATTGTGGTACATGTATACAATGGAATATTATATAGCCATAAAAAAGAATGAAATCCTGCCATTTGCAACAACATGGATTGAAGTGGAGAACATTACGTGAAATAAGGCAAGCACAGAAAGATAAATCTCACATGTTCTCACTCATATGTGGAAGCTAAATATTAAAACAATTGATCTCCTGGAGACAGAGAGTAGAATGATGGTTACCAGAAGATGGGAAGGGCAGCAGGGAGGAGGAGATAAAGTGGGAATGGCTAACTGGTGCAAAATTATAGTTAGATAACTAGAGGGAATGAACAATAATTGATAGCACAACAAAGTGACTGTAGTCAACAATAAGTTATGGTATGCTTTAAAATAACTAAAAGAGTAGAATTGGAATGTTCCTAACACAAAGAAAGGATAAAGGCTTGAGGTGATGGATACCCCAATTATCCTGAATTGATTATTACACATTGTATGCCTGTATGAAAGCATCACATGTACCCTATAAATACATATTGTAATGTACCTATAATAAATAAAAATAATTTTTTTAAAAAAATTTGAAAAAGAAGTGACAGGAGGAAACAGGCTGGGCATAGGTCATCTGTTTCACTGGCATGGGTGACAGCAGAGGCAATGTTTCTGCAGTTAATCAGACCAATTAAGCAGTATTGTTTCCGGGAGCTTTGCCTAGACCCTCTCCTATAGCCCTTCTAACAATTCTGCCAGGAATAAATTCCCTCCTGTCCCAACTAGTTAGAGTTGCCCACGTCTGATCTCTTCCTTCCTTCTTCTTTATTATCAAAACCCTGATTTTTTTTGGGGGGTAGCAATATGTACCAGCTAAAAAACTACATTTCTCAGACTTTCTCAAAGAGAAAGATAACCACATGACTAAATTCTGACCAGTGAGATTTAAGTAGAAGTTGGTATGTGAAGCTTTGGGGGAAATTCCTTAGGAGGCGAGCTGACCTCATTGTCCTACAAGATAATAATATCCCTTAGCTGGGGTTGTGTGTGTTAGCACCTCCAAGCTAGAGTTTCATTTTATTATTGTTGCTAACTATAATCCTAGGGCACATATTCAAGGGGAAGCATCTTCAAAAACAAAGTCACACCCTAAAATGCATTTAAATTATGATAAGGCAATAAAAAGTTGAAATATTAGATTTCCTACTGGATATTGATAACTCCCGCAGGAGATGGAGAATGCTTTTTCAGCTGTGTACAGTTATGTACATAGAGTCATTTTACCTGAATCCCATTCAGCATGTATAAGGAGTCCCTGGGTATAAATTGGCCAGGTGCTTCTGTAGATGATGTTAGTGCAGGGAATATTCGATAAGCCGGAACCTGAATCTATTGCCTTGCCTTTTTTGCAGGTAAATTTTGAGTTATAGGCCGGGCACAGTGGCTCACACTGTAATCCTAACAGTCTGGGAGGCCAAGGTGGGAGGATTCCTTGAGGTCAGGAGTTCAAGACCAGCCTGAGCAAGAATGAGACCCTGTCTCTACTAAAAATAGAAAAATTAGCCGGGCGTGGTGGCGCATGCCTGTAGTCCCAGCTACTTGGGAGGCTGAGGCAGGAGGATTGCTTGAGCCCAGGAGTTTGAGGTTGCTGTGAGCTAGGCTGACACCACAGCACTCTAGCCCGGGCAACAGAGTGAGACTCTGTCTCAAAAAAAAAAAAAAAAAAAAAAAAATTGAGTTACAGGGACCACTGATTTGGGTTTCATTTTGTATTTTTGCAAGATTTTCCGTTGAATAATAATTAATGTCTGTCTTATGGAAAATCTGTATTTGTGATTCAACAAATGCTAATTTTTCTCTTGTTTGCCCCACATCTTTTCTGGTACCTTCAGAAGTTGATTTTGTTTTTCATAATGGGGCTATTTCTTAGTGTTTTAAATTAGAATAATCCTGCCTTGTGAAGCTTTAAATTATTATTATAAATTCCCTTATAGATTAAGAGTTCCTGATTTAACATTTGTGGGTTTTTTTTATTTTTTTTTTAATTTTATAATTTTTAAATATTTTCTTTTTTTTTTTTAAATCACCAAGCAAGCTTTAGTACCTGAACTGGTTTAACATTTGTTTCAGGCCGGGCATGGTGGCTCATGCCTGTGATTCTAGCACTCTGGGAGGCCGAAGCGGGTGGATCCAAGGTCAGGAGTTCTAAACTAGCCTGAGCAAAAACGAAACCCCCGTCTCTACTATAAATAGAAAGAAATTAATTGGCCAACTAATATATACAGAAAAAATTAGCCGAGCATGGTGGCGCATGCCTGTAGTCCCAGCTACTTGGGAGGCTGAGGCAGGAGGATCGCTGGAGCCCAGGAGTTTGAGGTTGCTGTGAGCTAGGCTGACGCCATGGTACTCTAGCCCGGGCAACAGAGTGAGACTGTCTCAAAGAAAAAAAATTTGTTTCAGTGTGCCACTGCGTGTTCCACACTATATATATCACATCATTCTTCAGCATTATAGTCTATGGAACCTAGTACTGAAATTTGAGTATCATTTCTCCCCCTCCCCCGTCAAAAGTGTCTAAATGCTTATACAAATATATTTTATAGCAAAAGAAAGATGAGAGGGAGAGCTGATCTCCTTTTGCCTTTGCCTTTTCTTCCTCCCTGCTGCCTTAAAGGTAGATGTGAAGGCTGGAGCTCATGCAGCCATATTGTGAAGGCTAAATGACCATTCTAATGTCTGAGCATAAATTTAAAAAGGAATATGCATCCCTGAAAACATCATGAAGACACTAGTTCAGCCCTTGATGGCCTATCTTCAGACTATTCCTTAGAAATTAGAGAAAAAAACCCTAATTTGTTTAAGCCACTAATTTTTGAATCCCACTTATTAGGAGCTGAACTTGTATCCTAATTGATTTAGAATTTGGTACCTCAAAGCAGAAGCTACAGATTACAGAATCTAAAGTTTTAGATTTGGATAAATGTAGAGAGTTGGTCCTGGGGCCATAAGGGTAAAGATAGGGCAGGCTGGAAAGTGTATCACTCTTAGTTATGGAGTGGTGGAACAGTTAATTAAATTTGTGGTCTGAAAGTAGATTCTGTGCCACCCAAGGCTATAAGTTAGGTCAGTTAGGTTATTTTTTAAATTGTGTTTTAGGCCAGACGTGGTGGCTCACACCTGTAATCCT